ACTTGTCAAAAATAGTCTGTACGCGTAAAAATTGAAGTCATTGTAAAAATTATGTGGATTACAGTAGAGCTTCACCCTTGAATGGCTGTTGGCAAAGATCTAGGACACGGTGAGAGTTGTCCAGATTACTCCTTCTGCAGACATAAATAATCGTCTCCATTTCAAGGTAGTGTCAGATGTAAGACGTGTGATATTATCACAAGGTATTATCACTGCGCGTTGAAGTTCTGTTAATAAACCGGTCGGTGGAGTCTTTTCAAGGGCTGATCGAACAAGTCCAAATAGTGTGAGCATGTATTTGTCAGCAAGGTTATGGATGGACCTATTTGTTGAGCTTTTGGCTCTCGTCGACAATATCTAGTGTCGGGAACAACTGAACTTCCAAAGAACACTATTCGTAGAAGATATTTCTCAGTAACTCTAAAGACCGGCTTTCTATGAATCTCGGCATAAATAATCGACATAGTTATTTATATGTTCTTATAAATTGATCTTATTGACCTGATGTGAGGTTTCTATAAGTTTTCATTGTTGTTTTTGTTGTTGTTAATGTTGTTCTTGTTTGTCGTTGTACCTGTTCTTGCTGTTGTTATCGTCGTCGTTGTTGTCGTTTTTGTTCGATGGCTGACGTTTCGGCGATTTCGCCTTCGTAACAATACGGCTTTGAGGTAAGCAAAATCGCGGATACGTCAGCCATTGACAAACAGCAACAATAAAGGTAACTTAACCAACCTAGCATCAACTCAACAAGATCAGTTCATAAGAACCTATAAGATGCCGTGCAACACACACGTGGAATCGATCACGGCGCCAATGACCCGCAAGCCTTCCATCCCTCCTTGGTCGGCAAACTGGTACCAGACTTGTCTGTGAGGGTATGTGTGTCTCTTTAATGGTTTGTCGCTTCATCACTGGCGTCATTTTTTCCAGGCTGTTGAAATTTTATGAAACTTATGTTTGTTTTATTTATAAAAATAATGTTTTCAAACCATTATATGTGCTTCATTTTATATTTTACTTTTTAGCAGAGGTTCGCCCTCCTAGTACAGTTACATAAGTTGGGAACACGTTTGATATGTCCATCCAAACAACAGAGCCCGGAGAATCACGAAGCGAGTGAAAACTTTCCACAAAACTACTGAAACAAGACGTCATGACGAGTGTTGAAGTGCGTGTAGCGCAATATTTACTAGTATCCTGAAATACGTATGAGAACGATTCTCGTGCCGCAGATTCACCAAGCGTTCATCGTTCCGGGGTCAGCAAATTGCTACCTTAGGGATGCAGCAGCACTGGCTCGATACAGCGGTAGGTCACTGCGAGTCATTGTAGAGACCAGATATGCATTCAATCACCTCCAACGATACTTAATGAAGTTGAATGCATGGCGCATCTCTCAAGGATTGATTAACGCCGAGAGCTTTGTCGTTTTTATGGGCACCGAATAGGAATGTCGAACTATTTCCACCCTGAGTGACGTTGCTTCTGGGATGAACAGTTGCAGAATAATGCGGCCGTTGTTCCCCATTTATGTGAGGTCATCTCTTTGAGCTTTGTAGCAATTTTTCTGCGTATAAGATGTGTCCACATCCTTAAGTTGCTTCTTTTCAATAACTGCATGTTGTAAAGAAAAGAAAAACTTGAAACCAGCGATTAATAATAGTGTTGCACAGCAGCAGGCAAACATTGTCGTGATTCAATATTTATAGAAGCAAAACTTGTTGAGCGTTTTAAAACCTTTTGCATTAGAAAAAGGCGGAAATAAATTTTAGGAATTCGCTGATCGAATGGCTCGGCGAGACATGGGACCGGGTGGCAGCTTCGGTGGTGGGGATCACGTTGCCGGGAAGAGAACATCGTTTGTTCCTACATCTTAAAGAACACACCACTTCAGATTTTTTAATGAAACAGAACAATTTTCTATGATGAGAACTCTAACGATGCCGAAGCAATTAGTTATTAAACAAGTCTAAAGCCTTAGCAGCATCCAGTCGAAATTTAGCAACGGAGGCTTTGAAGAACATAAGTATTTATTGAAAATCTCGGTTTATTTTACCATAAATCGATGTCTGTATCTAACATCGATGTGGCGACGTTTACATGATGTACAACCGTACTACATCATCTACTATTTCCGATCTTTCGCACATGACAACTTCAGAAGATAACTGGTTTGAAATGTGATAGCGTTCATGGCAGTCAAGTTTGAGAGAGACAGGCCACCGATGGGAATGATCGCTTTGCATGGTTGATAAACAATAAGCGTATCATTAAGGGTATTCGTGGAATATCACCTTGCTCATTCAAGGAACAAAGCCTAACCTGGTATTTTGCAACCTCTTAAACTTGTTTCTTCTGTAGAATCACTAATTTAGGCCAGCGTTTTATGGGATATTGCTTCTTGAAGCCGTCGTTCTAAAGTAATGACTTCATTCCTTCAGAAGACAAGCTGTAGTACTTGTTCACGGAATCACCAATGTTGCAGGAGTTTTTGATCGTCAGCGTCAACATTTGCTGAAGGTACTTTTTACTAGGTAAAATTCACTATGCGAAGGGTGAGTACTTGGATGAACTTTTCCGCGCAAACCTCTCTCAAGGGAACATCGGGTTGGCCTTCTATAGAAAAGCACTTTGATTTATTGTTATTAAGTTCCGGACAACACATCCATCGAAGTATCCCTCCAATTTAGCTAAACGCGGAAGAAAATGCACATGATTGTTCAATTAAGCAGAATCTGCGGTTTAAATTGCAAAAACGCGTAGTTTTAACTTGACTAACATGCAGACTTCTCTACTTATTTCAATAATAATAACTGGAATTGGAAGACTTAATTTCAAAATCTCGCTCGGTACATACCTAGGTAGGATGGAAGGATACTGATGTCTATGCGACAACGTACGGTGATGGCGGAAGAACACCTGCTCCTCTGGTCGACATGAAGTGCGACTATGTTAAACAAGTCTGGTATTTTCTCTTATATAAGGCTTAATAGCGTCTTAATGTATTTCACTTGCCGCAGTGACGGAGCGAAGAAGCCGAATGCAGAACCGATTTAGTATAGTCATTAGTAATTTCATTAGTGGCGGAAAGAACATAGTATAGTCGCTTTCTTTTTTTCTGCCGTCAAATACTTTAACGTTAGGAACAAATAATATCAAGTTCGCTTCGATTATAGTCCATGTTTTGCGTTAATAGTGAGCACATCCCACATATTCACCCGATCTCCTTGGTAGATTCAGAGCTGTTTCAAAACCCAATAGAATACTTCACAGAATTAAAAAGACAGTTGATATCGAGGACGAATCAAAATTTCTGCTCAAAAAATAAAGAGTGGGGTGAACACGTTGAATTTTCGGTGAACACAAAGGTTTCACTTTCTGTTGAATATGGCATTGGTTTCTCATGTTTGGTTCTTGACGTACATGTGGCTGAACGAGTAATCCAACTGATGAGATTCGACAAAGGCAGTACTGAGTCTGTCCAAGAATACATTCTCTAGCCTTTCGTATACTTATTGCGGCTTAGCTTATTGTCGTTTACTCAAAAATTTCTGCAAAAGTAGCATTTGCAATGTCGTAAAAAATAAATGAAACAAGAACTACTTATTCAGCAGCTATTGTAACATATGCAGTAATACACAATATACGTTCCAGGCATGTTGCTCCTACCCATAAATTTACAGGTGCGCTGGATGATCCAAGGAATTTCGGCGTTCACACGGCGTAGAGTAGATGTGATCGGATATTCGATGGGATCACCGGTGGCAAGGAAAGTTTGTGAATTTTGAAAAATCAAAAAAAAATCACTGAAAATCACTGAAAAAAAATCACTTGATCAATGCCGAGGTTAATAGAAAGTCGGTCGTGAAAGTTTGTGAAATTTTTCCTTTGGACTATTATATCCATATTTTAACCCAATTTGGATAATCAAGTTAACTATGATAATCTAAGTGTGCATTGGCATTGTAATTACAGCAAAATTTGCTTATTGAAGAGGTACACCAAGCTAGAATTATTGGATGAAATAGGATACTAGTAAGGTAATCGAATGGATAGTAACATTGTATCGTTGAGTAGCTGGACTTACTGGTGATCGGTAAATTGTACTGCGGCTTCAAGAACTCATCTCTGACATTCTACATTGTGTCTTGAAGAAGTTGTAGCTAAGCGTAAAAACTAGGGAATATGCGCACAAGTCAGTATCAAGTACATCGATTATCGCTCTAATTTTCGAGTAACTTGAACGGGTACGTGAACTGCTTTTGCCCGGTCCTGCATCACAGCTGTTCAGTGCGGTGCAGTCGCTCGTAGAACACACAGAGAATCATTTTCTTGGTATTATATCTCAAACAGCACTAAATGAATTGCACTCAGTATGATGAAAAAAGATAAAGCTCTAGGTGTTGATGAATCCTTGAGGGAAACACCATTCATTTGACTTTACTAAGCAGCAAGTGACTGAATGTATGTATATCTGGCCTTTACAATGACTTGCAGTGGCCTACCAATGTGTCGAGCTAGTGCTGCTACATTCCCAAACAAGTTTGGTAGCACTTTGCTGACCCCAAAACGATGAAGGCTTGGTGAACCTGGGGCACGAGAATCGTTCTCATACGTATTGCAGGATGCCAGTAAATACTGCGCTACACGCGCTTCAACACTCGCCATGACGTCTTGTTTTAGTAATTTTGTGGAAGGTTTCCACTCGCTTCGCAATCCTCCGGGCTCTGTTGTTTGGATAGACATATTAAACGTGTTCCCAACTTAGGTAACTGTACTGGGAGGGCGAACCTCTCCTAAAAAGTAAAATATAAAACGAAGCACATATAATAGTTTGAAAACATTAAAAATAAATAAAACAAACATAAGTTTCATAAAATTTCAACACCCTAGAAAAGCCGCCGGTGATGAAGCGATAAACCCTTACAGAGCTTACATCCGTACGAAACATGTTCGTCATCCCTCGAAGTCGTCCGTAACTAATAAATGGATGTTATCAGTTGCAGGCTATACTCGGCGGAAAATGTTTGGATACGGGAGAAGAACTTGGACCCAGTCTCACAGCCCTTGTGGACACGTTCGTTTCAGTCGCAGGTCGGTGTAGCCAAATTTCTTCTGATGCGCAAAGCTATGGAGGTTTTCCACTACAGGAGCCAATCGTGGATCGTTCCTCTGTCTACTCCCGTTTCCTGGTGCTTGCAATAGCGTTAATGGACTTTCGTGCATTTCGAATTTCATAAAAGACATTAATGCAAGGTCCGTTTGCTATTTTCCTTATTGCTCTGAAAAGAATACTGGTGTTCCTATCACTAATCAGCTCGCCTTCCTGTATTCTTTACTTCAATTTTCCTCTTTTTTTTCTCTGTTTTCTTTTAGATCCTGCACTTCTTCCTCTTTACCTTGCATTTCTCTCGTTTTTTCTCTTATTCCTCTTTTTTCCGTAAGTTTCATTTTTTCTGTTCAAAAATCCTATTTCTATCTCATATACTTTGTAGTTATTTTTCTCCTATTATAATACAGGTCGACAATTTTTCAACTATCGACCTGATTAATCGCAAGGTTACATGACTTTCTTCAAATGGTGAAGAGGATGCTGAACACTAACTGGCACGTTTTCCTTGCGACGCAGGTACATGCAGACGACACAGTCCATGAATCTGCTGAGACGGATCGACCACCTATAGCTTCACTATGCAAGTGATAGTATTCATGCACTAGTTGGATATCAGTGGTAGCAAGCACAGGTCCATAAGTTGCTACCAAACTCAAGGGCTTCGAGACGTGCATATTTGGTCGTTTGGAAGTTTATGTAAATATTACGAACTGCCCTCTTTAAGCTGACGCGAACTTGTTGTCTGTTGTTCTTGTGAATCGACTGCTTACGTTTCGGCGACTTCGCCTTCTCCAGGGCCTGGACGTACCTGATGTAACTGTGTCCTTGTCAATTGGTGAATTATCTGTACTGTTAATGAAAACCTATGTTGACAATGAACGCCGATTTGTTAAAAACCACTCACGGTTTCGTTAGCTGTGGGACCATCTGTGTGTTGCTCACGTGGAACGCTGAGTAGAATGACTCGAAAGACCGACTTTCTATAAACCTATAGATAGTTGATATATTTATTTATGTGATCTCATAAACTGATCTTCTTAAGCTGACGCGAAGTTGATACAGGTCTTCGTTGTCGTTGTCGTTGTTTTTGATGTTATTGATCAATGGCTGACGTTTCGGCGACTTCGCCTCCCTCAGAGCCTGGACGTATTTTATACTAGAATGTTTTTATTATTCGGTGGAAAAGAAAGGTTAAAGTATTAATGAAGATCAAACTTTCAAATAGACGCTATATTGCACAGAAAGGCCACTCACCGTGATGTTACGTGCGGGACTGGCCCACGCGTTGTTTTCGTGGGGTCGCGAGCAAGACACGCCCCGGGGTCAAAATATCATAAAATAATATTTGAAATAGGGCGCCAGGTCATGCGTGATAGTGAGGCGTTCGTCTTTCCGGTTGATCTTTGGATTTTTGAAATTTATACAAAACGCCTCAAGAGTTTTACCCATTGATGGTTTTGATTCTTGCGCTAGGATCCACACATTCACTTCAAAAAAAATCGTTGCGCTTTTGTGCCCTATCCGTACCTAGAGGGGTGTTTAAACGGATTTTAGCTGGCGTCTATTTGAAAGTTTGATATTCATTAATACTTTAACCTTTCTTTTCCACCGAATAATAAAAACATTCTAATATAAAATACGTCCAGGCTCTGAGGAAGGCGAGGTCGCCGAAACGTCAGCCATCGATCAATAACATTAAAAACAACGACAACGATAATAACAACGAAGACCTGTACCAACCTCGCGTCAGCTTAAGATCAGTTTTTAAGATGAGTAGAATGCACCCAGATCAAAAAAATCAGTCTGAGAAAGGGAGCCAAGTCACGTGTGTTAGTGAGGAATTCGTCTTCCCAGTTCATTTTTGGTCTTTTTATTTGAATTTTTGATTTCCATGTGTGACAGTAACTTCAAAATCGTCACCGTTGTGTTTTTCATATTATCTGTACCTACAATACTAATTTGTCGAATTTTCTGTTTCCCATCGAACTGCCCTTTTGTGCGTACACAAAGTCTTCCACCCGTTTCACCAATCCATTCGTCACAGATGCTTTGCAAGAGATCTGTCACGCTGTAGCCAAACTGATGGCATCTCCGTCACTGGAGCTAGGGTACATGTTACAATCTTCGGAGTTTCATAGGCGATCATCCAGGTAGTTATAGACCAATCAACGGCTTCGGCTTCTTAGCTGGGACGTCACTAACTGCCAAAGATTTCTCAAGATCACTTTTTCTTAGGCACCTCTTAATTGCTTGGCGCTAATCCCTGTCCTATGTCTAACCCTTTAATCTGCGTGAAATATCTCCCGTACAGCTTGAATATTGAACAATTAAGCCATCATTTTAATAGAATCATTGACTGCTGAATCGGCAAACTATACGATTTGTTTTTTCCCCATATTCTATGAGCAGCTTGAAAATGGCTTGCATTGCAGAGTCATTCGATATGATAGTATTGAGCTAATATCGAATGACTCCATAGCATGTGTATTTTTGTTGTGCGCACCGTAGGTGATCTAGGAATATTTTGGTATGGGTAGATGGATTGGTATGAATTTGACAAATTGGCTCAGAATAGGGCTTAGGAACCATGTTATCGGCTTATCGCCTGTCGTTTAAGGCCGGTAACTGAAGGTATACCCACTTCCTCTACCGTTTCGATCCACTCTTTATTTAATTTCCGGTATTTGTTTCTATACTTCTTTTTATAATATGGTCCATAAAGCGAAATATCCTTCAGATGCCATTCTGTTGTTGTAATAGTCAACTGATTAGGAACAACTGTAAGTCCCCCACCTTTACAACTAACAGATAATTGGATAGACCTTGGATATAAGCTCCCTAACCTATCTCATACCACGTATCTGTTCTTGTGTTAGGTTGGAGCTTAATTTTTATGTCGATAGCGATTAGGTATTTGACGAACTTCGTATGAAAACAAACGAAAAACAGAGGCGGTTTCGCCACGAAGTTGTTGCTGATAAAAGAAAGGGAAAGGAATTGATGGTAATGCCCTTTTTTGTACTTCATTATCTAACTTTTTTAGTTTGGCCTTATAAAACATCTGATCTTGAAGTTCATGTAGACCGCACATGATGCTGCGCAGGATTGCTCTAGGAATGGGTTGGCTAGGCGAACAAGTCGAACCCAATTCTAACAATGATTACGCATTATCTGAAAGCGCTATGCCTCTTAATAAACTACGATGAATTTGTTGTGTACTGTTTCCCTGTTATTCGGAAATTAATGCAGAATTTGTATTTCTACTTCTGTTCTATATTTTTCTTCTTTCTTTTTGAATTCTATAGCATTATGCAGTAATGCAACGGTTCTCTCATGCGCTTTTATTCTGAGCTGAGATGTGCCACTGTGAAGATTCTAACCACTAAGAGCCACCTGAATATGAATCGACGCCACAATTTGACTCTATGTTCCAAAAGAAGGTAACGACTAAATGACATGAAGGCGTCCTATACTAGCCTGGTGAAGTTCTATAATGTAGATCACCCTAGTGGCCTACACTACAGAAACAATATCTGTAATACTCGGTGAGACTTTGCTAATTGCAAGACTAGTATGGTCGCTTCTTACATCCAGAGATAGCAGTCACTTCATATAGAACATAATAAAGGCTGTCTATGACCTGATCTCTAGTTTTCGGCAGTAATGTCCTTAATTTACATTCGTATTCTCTAGAATGAGATGAATACCTTCTCCAAGTGGTTCTACCTTCTTGGTTTAGATACTTACCTCCAGTTCCGATAGGATTAGACTTGATAACTTGGTAAAGCATTAGTCAGTTGCTATCGACTTCCTATTCCATTGCAGAGAGTGTTTTTTTCCCGGACCAGCCGGTATTAATTTACCGACGCGGAGGTGATGAGAAGTTTGGTTGCCCGAAGTGGAGTCGAACAAGCGTCATGCTCGTAATGACCAACACCACAACCATTGTGCTATCCGCCTTTATGTAAAGTACTAGGCAAAAAAAAATATGATAGTCGGTATGATTGCAAAAAAAGAGGCTTGTGCGACACCAATAACGACTACTTAGTCTTCCAGCTGTTTATGAGCTATGTTTGCTACACGAGTTATCCTCCGTGCGATTAACAAGGATTGACAAGAGCCAACTGATCTAAGGACAGTCTTGGGAACAATCTATTACAGTGAATCATATGAACACGGTCATAAAACTCACTGAAGTGTGGCGGGAGTAGAAGATGTCACAATTCTACACTTTAATAAAATTTAAAGAAGTCTGCGATTCCGTTCAGATGTAAGCAATCGTGGAAGCTATGGACAAGAAGCGTCCCTGGACGGGTATAAAGGTCGATTATAAACTAAGGAACAACTAAATCACCAGATATTAGTCATTCTGTATAATAAACATTATCGGCGTGAAAAGGCAGACTGAAAATCGAGACGTCGTCATACAAACAATGGAGCTGCGTAGAGAGCTTATATTTTCATCGAGATTTTAACGATGAAGACAAAGGACATCCATAATCACGTCGAACTCTTTGACTCCATGGTTACCGCCATTACGGTCTCGAAAACTGGGGTGACACATAAGGAGGACCAAAATAGAACTACCATTGTAATCGAGCCAATGAATCTGTTATTCCAGACTTTGTCGTAGATGAAAAGTCACGAACATTGCAACAAACACGAAATGTTTTTCACTGAATTCTGGCGGACCTGGCACGCGATGCGCCTTGCTGACAAATTTGCATAAGAGATGTTAGCGATAAAGTTCCATATGATGGAAAGCACACAACGAGAAGACCATCGACCTGTGGTCAGACTTCACCAAAAGGCTCTAAACCAAAATGTGATGTCGGAAATCCCAATATGTGGCCAAATGGTGTATTTTATTACAGTGGAGTAGTACTAGGCATTTCCAATGGTGTGCATAGAGCGACTCAGGATAACTCAACTAACGAGGAAATTTATAACATCAGCAAATTACATATGCAGTATAGGTGGACTTGCTTTTGAACCAACAATAGGGGTTTAAATCTATTAATATTTATTTCTGTAGTTCCTTGGAATCTAAACAATGTGGTTTTACAACCTATCGGCATCCGACTACATTCGAAAATTTCTCTGCAGACAACGATATGAAGGCCTGCATGTGTTCTCAGTCTATTCTCCACAAGACGACAAGGTCGGTCATCGAAACGTATGTGGAGAATCGACATCATCGATACCCGGAGCCGATCAGGAATTCCAGGTGAGGGAGAGACTTCGCCATACGACAATATTCACATTCAACAGAAACTCTCTTTTCTGTACAAACGAGTTACCTAACCTTACCGCTAGTCATGACTTTCGACTTCGTGTAGTCGATCCTTAGTTCCATCATAATGATTTTTCCACCGAAAATGTTTAATGTTAGAGAACCCCCGAATATGTCGACAGGCTTCGTCTAATTCAGTCACAAAAGCAGAATAGTCAAGAGTTGTGAATCAGCTTTTGAATCCCAGCACCGAGGCCTGGAACATCACCCTACAGAACTCTTGAATTCTATCCCAGGATTGAAAAAAATTCTCTATAAACCGTCGACTCACATGGTTGACAACCACACGGCTCAGTATACTTCAAACCTATCTTAACATGAGCATTTAATATTTCTTTAAAAAAATGCTTATCTACGACCAAAAACTCGAGTTCTAGAGCAGCGTTGGGGCAACTTCTGATTAAATTCCCTACCGATGTCGTTCACGCAATGATTCCAGCGTCCAATTTTATGTGGTACGGTACATGGAACGACACCTAACTTCATATAGTCATGGACTTCTTTGCTTTTCTTGACAATTTTATTTGCCGTTTGTTTTATACGACTCGTCTTTCACATCCATTATGTTGTTCCTAGCAGTTTTTGCATTCGATTCGTTTCCTCGCACCCACCATCCATGATGGTCATAGAACTTTTTACGTGTACGTTGGACTGTTACTTGACGATTTTCATTTCGTCATGTAAGTGGTTGAATACTGGAGGAGTGGATTTTTCCTGGAGTCCTGAGGTAGCCGAGCTACACAGTTCTCAATTGGACTTCGCAGAGTGTCCCGACACACGGACGGATGGCAGGCCTGGTGAACACGATCGGGAGTCGAACCAGTTTGACAGTAGCTGGTAATATTTCGATAACTGAAGGACATGAGTGGTTGGGAATGAGAAAGAATTATAGAAGACCTTCCCCGTTAGCTCTAAGGGTATGTGTGTACCACTCTGTTGTCAACATTTGGAAGCCCTTGCAGTTTGTGCTAGGTGCATTTCTGTATTGTTTATACGGAGTCATTCCTTACAATAACTATGATTCATCAAAGTCATGAGCTGGTTATCAGTTAAATCACCTATTAGCAAATTCTTTCGAAGAAATGCCTCTCGTATGCTCTTAAATGCTGAGCAAAGCTTTACCCGAAAGCCACTCGGCACAACATCTGCGCCGGATAATGGGATGCATCGAATGGGCAGAAAAAATGCAACGAAAACGATCTGCGCGGAAAAACAAACAATCGGGGAAAAGCATCATGCATGACTCATCTCGACACCAGTGGATTAAACAAAGTGACAAATTGGGAACGTAGCTTACCTTTGTTCAAGATGCTTGATTGACACAGTGATAACGACCGATGACTTCTCATGATAACCTTCGACCCACCTTGTAATCAGTGTTTAGATCGAAAATTGCAATTTTTTTGCACGATTAACGAAGCGACTTCTTTGGTAGTAATGTTATAGTTGAGTTAGTTTTAGCGAAGAACTATGATAAACATAATTACGTAACTACGCTCAACACATAATTAGGCCTAGCAGTACTCACAAAAGTTCCAAGTGTGCCAGCAAAAAATTTAAGTGGGATCCGATGCTTTCATCATCGGATCTTTACGAAATATTACGGTATCTATTCCTAATTTCACTAAAGGTCTTAGTAATAAAAGAAACAAGTCTCGACTCATACATTTATTTCAAGCCCATAATCATCACATATACAGAGACCTGGGAACCACGACCAGGTCATGATGAACACCATCCAGTTGCAAGCGAATCTCATCGAATTGCACAATGCAGGAGGACAGTAAAATCCCAACATGCTTTAAGTTTATTTGATGCATATAATAATCATATTTATAAAGCATAAATTTTGCCCTCTAGTGAAAGGATGTGGGCCACAAGAGGTGAGCATACCTTGACATGTTCACAGTAATCTCAAAACGTAGTTAAAAATCAGTGGTCAACAACAGGGTAGTGGTAATACTTAGCCATTAGGGTAGTAACCATAATGGTGTCGTTATATGGTTATATTCCATTTTCCAATAATAATCCAGTGAAAAAGAAAATTTCTGGCAAACACCTTGTTATGTAATTAAAATGAAATTGTTAACATGCTCGAAACAATGCGCTAAATTATCCCTTAGAACTACCTCAGAAAGAATAACAGTATGCCCAAAATGTGTAACAAACTCGCTGTCGAACCCAGATGTAACAACGCCTTATGCTTTGGCAAAGTTATAACAAATGTAAGCTACATATCACAATCTCCATAAGGACTTTAGAGAAACATAAAATGATGAGGGAGATCAAGAGTAATAAAGAATATGTAATATATTGAATGGAGCAGGAAAAAAGAAGGGTTAACCTGAAAGACAACAGCAATCTGTTAAAGGACAGCAAGTTTTCTTCCACAATTTATAATGTGCTCATGAAACTGTTTAGAAGACGAAAAACGGTCATCGTGGCACAAAGAGCAAATCATTAACCGGGATTTCTTTGCTACCTGCGCAATCGAATTAAACCCATAATTCAAAGGAATGTTGCCAGAATCGGACATCTGGAAAGCAAATGGATATTAAGGTTTATGAATAGCCGCATAATTCCATACAACCCCATTATCATTCTATTCAATGGTAAATCAATGTGAAAAGAATTCCACTAACATGAATCGGAATTGGATCTGGAGGCTCCTCGCTAGCGCAGTTTCCATTCCTCAAGTGGTCCTCGTAGTCCAGAAAGACAGGAAACAGCCTACGACAAATCGTGCACAATTGGCCAGTCCTCCTTGACGGTCGATATCGCCAAGATCCTGGCTAAATCACAAACAATATGATGGTTCATGAGGAATATTCAGACATACAAAACGTAACCTTCAACTGGTGATGAACTTGTTGATGTAGATCCAGCCGAAATTTATTTGGAATACGCTTGGGAGATAAAACAGCTAAGCAGATTTCACTGAAACAACTTACAAATTGGAGGAAGCAACAACGATGCTTGAGCAGTGTACTAAGAGAAACTATTCAAGCAAATTTTTTCATTACTTTCAAATAAGACTAACCTCAGAGATGGTACAACGTTAAGAACTACATCTTCTGAGCCTGGGATATCAAGGGGAAAACCGACTTTGTTCAGATCTATCGCCTGTAAATCAAAAAATTGTTCAAGACGACTTGTACAGATAACTATTACTAACAGCGTAACAATGACCTGTGGATTGTAAACACGTTCCATAACTGCGAGAGCATCCTTAGCTTTACTTCGAAAACCCAGCAACGCGATCCTTTGTTCTTAACTTGAAAGAATTTTCGAACAATACTTAAATTGTGGAAAGAGAACTTAAACGTCCACCTCTGTGACCGTTTTGTTCTCTTTTACTCAAATTCGTTAGGATGGACGTATTTTTCAAATGTTAGAAATTAATCTAATGGATTGAACCTCCTGGTTCGAAGTATTACCCATTAGACGTTTTGTTTATAAACTGATTTGTAAGCCTACGCAACAATGAAAATAAGCAGGATTCTGCCTTAAAAAACGTCCCAAAAGCAACGGCGAAAGCAAGGACCCTCAAATTTGCTGCAAGAACTGGGTAGGTATCAATGAGGTCTACCCAGAATCTTTTATTTATTCCATATTTCTCTCATTCGAAGGAATACGTTGTTTTCTATAACAAAATATTCTGATACACAGAATAAACCCACCGTTTGTGAAGTCCTGGACGTGTCGTGAGAGGTTTTTGTTTGGACAGCTGTGATTTTGGATGACGGAAAGGAAACGCGATGACAGGGTGCACGTCTGGCAGTACCATGGAAACACCCTTGGGTGCGGGCGGTAGTACAATAGCCGATTACGAATTTTTAACCATTCTGCACGACGTACTTTCCAACGACGACTACCACTAAAAACGCTAACAATTTTTAGGACATGCACCAAAATCACTTCATGCATCGTTGCATTCGATGTCCAAAGAAAATCAAAACATGGAAACGATTTCCAAAGGGTTTTTTTTTGAGGTATTTCAGCGCCATAGCGGATTATGAGAGACCGCCGAAAAGTTGTTTTAAACACATGTGGACGATATGAATAGATTTGAACTCATACGTGAGCAAAACAGTTGTGCCGCTTAACTTTAAACAAACATATCTCACATTGACACCGAACTTCATCAGCTGAAACAAAAACCTAGAGTCCACAAAAAAGGCCACAAATTTCAGGTTCACTTATTCCTCCACGACAAAATTTCAATCCTTTGTTAACAAAAACACCATTTTTCTTCTCTTTTCTTTTTTCATCGATGACCATTCCTTGAGCACCGAAGTGACTGATCGGCCGGGATTTCGCCCAGACCAAGGAAAAATTTTCTGCAGCTATGGAAAACCGACCACATTCCGTTGGAAGAACTTCACGACTACTTCAACGGTGTGAAAAGCTTGAACTATCTTTCAGAAAAAAAACCACGTCGACGTGAAGTCAAAACGATCACTGAGGAGTTTATAAACTAGAAACTATAGCGCTTCACATCACTGATTAAAATTTTGGGAGCAGGTACTCCTTGGACGGAGAATAAGCAGAGGAATTCGGTATTTCTGTGAAAACACTCTACTGCATGCTTCCTACGAATATCTGCAAATGTTCTATTACACTAAGCTTTTGAATCAATACCACCCCTCTTGAGGCCAGTGCTCACCCCCATATTGTACTGAAAACGATCCAACTCGTAGCAGCCTATACCTTACCTATGCCTTTATTTAAGATTTTGTACAATAATTCATTTAGAACAGTACATTCCAAATATCTAAAATCTCATAATTCTCCACTTACCATTCGACAATCGAGCGAATGGACGGGTGTAGGTAGTGTACGTACTTTTTAGGAACGTCTTTGACTGTCCAAATGCGGCTCTTTCTCTTCGTCATTTTCCTCACTGTAAATGCTCTGGTCGATTGTCGTGGAGGACGAAGAGGAGGAAAAGGAAAGGGAAAGAACAACCTACAATTTGCACAAGTGGCTGAGTTCTCACTTATTCACACACAACTCGCTGATAATCGGGTAAGTCCGAGTGATCAGGTCGAGAGTGCAAACCAAGAAAATTGGTGGAAACGTACAAAATTGAGATACTCAACCAGATTCAATTCGAGATAGTATCATTTAAGCCAAAAGTGGGCCATTCAAGAAATTCGTACCAGCATTTAACAATGTTGCTATCATATAGGAATTCATGTAAATATTTCTAGTTTTCGTTAATTTTCCACAAGTAGGAAAGGGAGAGCGAGAGAGAGGGAGAAAAAAAAGAGAGACAAAGTAATCACTTGACTCTTCAGAGTGCTCACATCGTCACTGGCTCACACTTCAGTCAGACATTCCGTCTCGGATATAAATTGATAATTATATGCAAAGCCAGAGGTAATCCACGACCAACCATCAAATGGTACAAAGAAAGCGCAGAACTTCATCCAAGGCAGAATATCCACGTAATCAGATCACACCGTACTTTCATACAGACGATTTTCTTAATAAAATACTTTCAGTACTATGAAAAACCCATCGATGACGATATGCTCTGGAGCAAGTTGGAGATAGGTGAATGTTTACGTCTAACAACTGCTTAGAACAAGCCGACAGCAATCTGCGTTTTTTTTCTTCCCTAACGTTCCTTTCCTATGTTCCTAACCAATTCACGCAATTGATCAGTTATTACGCTAATCACGTGATTCCACTAAACGAACCGGCTTTCTTCAAGCAAGGAAATACCGAATAATAGATAGAAGCTTCGTGATCATCAATTTCGGTATATCATATCAATTACAGTAACCCAATCACAATAATTATTAGTTTTAAAGTGGAACCCTTTTTTAAATACGCATTCACTTCCTAGACGTACAGAAGCCATTTTCAAGCCCGCTAGAGAGCCCAGAACATCGCCACCGGTTGAGCCGTTGCTGGGTAATAAGCGTAACGTTGCTCTTTCCTTTGCTACATAGTACGACTCCTACTTTGGTTAATTTTAACAACAGTTTCATATAATGCGATGAGTAGAACTCACCATAGAACGTAAAAAAAAAGCCCTGGCAGTTGCGTTGGCCGTTGGTACAGCATGGGATTCCCAGAGAATCCTAGTTCTAAGGGGTTGTTGTGGTACTGCCGGAAGTATTACATTCTCTGCATCACGTAAGAACACTCTGCTACCACCATGAAAGAATAAATTTTTAAGGATATATGGGACAATAAGTGTTAGCCGTCGGCGGCTTTGGAAAACCCATGATGTAAGTGACTTCAAAATCCATGAACTGTTAAAGAAATTTCCGGAAAACACCATCATAACAGGAGTTCAGTGCTAGTCTCAGTCAAATTCTTTAGTATTTAGATCCAGCAACTATGGGCGATCAAGGAGTGTACGCGTGCGTTGCAAACAATGAACACGGAGTGATGGCGAAGAACTTCAAAGCCGAATACACATACTGACAGCATTCTTGAGAATTATTTGGAGCAAGATACCTGTACCTAAGTAAGACCTAAAGAAGTCTTGGAAGTGTTTCGCATGTCGTTGCAGTTTCAAATCGAACAAGACTCCTCTCAGTGGTTGTGTTGAGTTGCAGTAGAAAATATACCGTGGAGCAAATATTGCCACCTAATTTGCATACTTATCATGTAAACTCGAATACAACGAAATACATGTAAACCCTAGTAAAGGATAAATAAAGAATAAAGCTCTCGGCGTTGATCGATCTCTGAGGGAACAGCCATGCATTCGACTTCATTAAGCATCATCGGAGGTGAGTGAATGCACATCTGGCCTTTACAACGACTCGCGGTGGCCTACCGATGTATCGAGCCAGTGCTACTATCCTCCCAAACAAGTCTGGTACTAGTTTGCTGACCGCGGAGGGATGGAAGAATTGGTGGGCCAGGGACGCGGGGATCGATCCTATGTGTGTATTCCACGACGTCTCCAACCACTGCGCCACATGAGCCATGTAAATCCTAGTACAGTGAAAATTTTGGCGCCTATTAGAGTTTGCTCATTAAAAACGAACTTCATGCCAACTTTGGCAAGTTAAGCGAAAACTAATAAGGAGTCACGAAAAATCAACTCACTACTAGGAATTTCAAACAACCAGTTCAAGAGATAGATTTAAAGAAAGACCACACCAGTCAAAGAAACAATTGTGAACAACATTAACCTCTACTGGACAACGTGACCTCTATAGGAGTCATACGACGTGAAAACAATGCCCGCTTCCAACTTCGAACAAAGATATCTCAGCTCATAGTGAATGTTATGAATAGCAATAAGAACTATAGGAATCTGTAAGCTTTTGCCTACACAATGAGAGTCCATATGTTTTACCACGACACATCAAATCCTGCTTTCCTGGAGTTCACAACATATATTTCTTTCACTTTTTGGCCTCATGGCTGATAGTTCAAACATGAAAGCGTATGAACTAAAGGGATTTCATCCAGGAGGACGCGATCCTGTTCCACAATATCTCATTTATGTTTGCAGCTGCCACTCTCCTCTTTTCGCGTGTTTAAACTTCATTTTAAATTTTTTGGAAAATATTGGTTCCAGATAAATTGGTATATGAAAAGGTACTGTATAAAAACGACGCGCACGATTAGTGCGCTAGATTGAAGTCTCTTCTATGAATCCATAAGGGTCCAAATTCACGAAATACTCGGTTGAGCGAGAAACCATAGCCAGTTGTAAAAGAAAAAAAAAACCAGTTTCGTCATGAAAGGGTCACTCAGATATTCTAGATAATTGACATTAATTAAATAACCACAAGGATGCTATGCTGGGATATTTGCAAAACTCCAGACCACAAGTGTCTCCGGTGGGTACAGAACACACTATTACCCTATCCAGGGGCTAACGCGTTCACCACCACACCATACGCGTCCTTCGTTTCGCCAGTCTCTCATCTAATTTTCTTTCTTTCTTTTCCCAGCCGGATTTCGGACCTTGTGATTTCGACTACAGCCTCAGCTTAACTGAGTTCAATGCGATTTGTGCTCCTCAGATCAATCCTGTTGATGGGTAATTGCTGATGGCACTGGTAGATAGAAAACTGGCTGAGAGAAATGAAAAACGAAAGCCACGCATGGTGTAGTGGTGAGCGCGTTAGATTCCAGAAAGGATAATAGCGTGTTCGGTCCTCACCGGAGACACCTTCGGTTCGGAGTTTTGCAAATATCCGAGCATCATTGTGATTGTAATTCACATAATACCCTGCCGTGAAAAGTAGTAGTAGGCAATAAATAAAAAGTTAACACTAATTGTTTTTCTAAGTAACGTGGTCCAAACACGAATGAGACTGGTTCTGTTCTCTTTAGAGGAATACTATTCGTAGCTCATGTTATAAGCCCGCGACTGAAAGAAATGGCGATGGTCTGCCCACGTATGTGATCTGTACCACAACATCAAACTACGCAGGATGATTCACGCAGCGTACGAAACCTTATCAGGACACCTCAAAACAAACAGTCGATAATCTGTTACTCTTCGAGGCGTCATAGCCCAACTCTCGACAACATGGTCGACAAGGCAAAGTATCTGTTTGTACTTCATGAGATTCTTGCACACATTAATTCAGCACATATACTAAAGCACGGCTGTGTAGAAAGATCAAATGATTCAAAAATATTCGCTTAAAGTAAATCCAAAAAGAATCAGCTTTCATCTGCAGCTCTCAGTGAGCTGTTTACTTTTCGTAGGCGAAGAAGACTTAAGAGAGATGGAAATGTAGCACAAGATTAGCTTGTGCTTTATTGAGGTCAACTGTAAAGGACAAAAGGATAGAGCGTTCGGTACTGATCAATCCCTGAGGGATGCGCCACGCGTTCGACCTCATTGAGCATCGCTAGAGGTAGCTGAATGCATACCTGGATCACACAATAACCTACGGTGGCCTACCATTGTATCGAGTAAGTGCTGCTGTCCATCCAGACACGTATGGTACCAATTTCCCGATCTCGGAGGGATAGAAGACTTGGTGAATCTATAACGCGAAATTGAACCGACGACCACGTGTATCCCAGGGCACCACTAACCACTACGCTGGACATGCCTTTACGTTAATATAACTATTACTAAATCTACCAACCTTGTAAGCTTATAATTGAAATAGTACTACCAAATCTACTATTTTCACTGAGGAACAATATTTGAAAATAATAATGGAGATAACTAAACAAAGATTTCCAATAATTGAGGAAATAATTACAATGGTGCTAAGCTATCTGTAAAACTCCTGATCGAAGGTGTCTGCGGTGGGGATCGAAAACGTACTTAACCTTTCCCAGTACTATCGCGTTCACTACGACACCATGCGGGTCCTACGTTTCGCCTTTCTCTCAACTAGTTTTCTACCTCCACCCAGTGCTTTGCCATTTTATCGTAGCTGGGAGGTGTTCCTGGGTGTAGGGGCTGCGATGTACAGGGGAGTATTCATCCACCTGGGAGGGCCTGCCAAACAGAAAGAGTCTGGCGTTTCCACCAGTAAGCTCGGCTAAGAATGAACCAATACCAGGATCCACCAACGTCCTGCTAGCAAACTAGTCGCATGGTCGCGAATCTCCCCTGATCAACAAAGACCGCGACTGCCTGTGGTGATGATGACCTGGGGCAGACTTTAGCCTGGTTGACCTCGGAACTCCAGAGAACCACAACAGCTAAACTAGCAAAACTCCGGAAAAAAAACGAAATTATGCTGGTGCCCGCACAACCAGTGAGGACGGGCCAGCCAAGTATCCAAGTACCCAAGCAAGTTATCTACCTAACGGCACCATCAGCAATGACTCGTTAATGAATTGATCTAAGTCTAAGCACAAATCGGGAAATTGGGAAAATAGCTTGGAGCAGTAGTTAAAAGAAAAGCTTAAGTCAGAAAGATACGCATGACCAAAACAGAAGAGAGTGACTGCTACTCAATGCAATGGAATCTAACGGAATACATTTAGGAGAGAAGTCTAACGCACATCCGTAAGACAGGTACGACCATTCCAGTGCGCTCGATTGTATGAATATGCAGAATGATCCATTAAGAATAGATGTGAAAGGCGACCCCAACAAATCCATTCTTTTCAAAAGCAATGCAGCAAAACCGACTACGACGCTGCTACCACGCACAGACGCGAAGACATTTGGCCGGAGTTCTGCATGCCAGATTAGCGCTTACCGAGTGTATCATAGCTTACTTACTTGATACTTGAATGGCCCGTCCTCACTGATTGTGCGCGCCCCAGTATAATCTCCATTTTTCGGAGATTTGCTGGTTAATCCATTGTGGTTCCACGGAATCCCGAGGCCAGCCTAGCCAAAGTCTGCCCTAGATCGTCACTACCACAAGCAGTCGGAGCCCTTGTGGATCATAGGGAGATTTGCCACTATGCGACTTTGATACCAGGACGGTAATCGATCCTGGTATTGGTTTACTCCTAGCTAAGCTCCCTGATGGAAACGCCGGACTCTTTTCACCTTGGGAGACCCTGCCAGGGATGATTTCCCCGCTGTACATCGCAGACCAAAGAAACACCTCCCAGCCTCGATGAGGCGGTAAACTGTTAGGAGGGTGTATATACCAGAGATGGTAAAACGATAACAAAAACGATATGACAAAGTTTCGAGAAAATAGGCAATATTCTGGGAAAACTATTGGCGTTACAAAGATTGGCCTCAGGAAATCATGCCGTATTCGACAAACTGAGAGTGCAGTGCGGTCTTTACAGCTGACATTACGACTGAATCAACTAACGTCCACAAGGAATGCAGCAAGATAACGAACGCCAAGGATAACGGAGGCAGTATTTGATGTCTCTGAAGTTAACTCCTTATTAAACCAATTTTTAACAAACAGAGCACTTCCGGATGAGCATTCCTCATTCGTACAGTGTTCACTGAAGAAGATCCGTCTTGGTACGACTGGGAAGTCACCACATCGAAAAGACGAACAGCTGTGGACCAGCAAGACGGATCATCGGCTCAGACGAAGACGGAGACGTCGGAACATTAAAGTATAAAGGATAAAGCTCTCGGCGTTGTTCAATCCCTCAGGGATGCGCCATGCATTCGACTTTCTTAAGCATCGTTGGAGGTGATTGAATGCATATCTGACATTTACAAAAACTCACGGTTGCCTACCAATGTATCGAACCAGTGCTGCTATCCTCCTAAACAAGTCTGGTACTAATTCGCCTACCCCGGAGGGATGGAAAGCTTGGTGGCCATGGGTGCTGGGATCGATTTCGCGTGCATGTTGCAGGCAGGCCGCCTCCGACCACTGCGCCACACGCGCCCTATCGCGACGAAACGTCAGTCGAATAAAACTAAGTTATCATCCTCGTGTAAGCTCAACAATTTAAACCCATGTTAACTGTTCATTATTAACTGCCAGCTATCACCATTGACTGTGTATGGAATTGTAATTTGAGCTGTCGCTGCCATAGTCATGTCCTCAAAC